AATTGGTAGCAAACCTAATCTGGGTCCAGTGGTCATTCTTCTTCCTGCTTTGGGTGGCAGACACATTCTGGGGAAGTCTGACATGTATTCATCCTCACTAAAATACCCACGAGGTAAGTATTACCATTGTTCCCATTTTCCAGATGAGGTGACTGAGGCACAGGGGTGGGGGGGTTGGAGGCACTTCATTTCTAGCAGCATGACCTTGGTCAGGTCATTTAACTTCCCTGTGCCTTTGTTTCCTCCCCCTTAAATAGGACTACTGCTGCCTGCTTCCTTGGGTGTCTGAGAGGATTAAGGACACAAGGCGTATGAAGGGCCAGAGTTGGGGGGAGGGGTACGTGGGTGCTGAGGACATGATGCTTATCTGGCATGTATTGCCTGGAAACCTCCCAAGGTTGGTTTTCATAGGGAAGGCAACCTGGATTTGGATTTCTGGGTCTTGATTCTCCAGAACAAGAAGAGCAGAGACCTAGTTACCTTTGGTGTGCAGGTGAAGAGTTACCAGGAAGGTGAAGGGATATCTCATGTCCATCAAGGGATGGATAGATAAAGAAAATGTGGTATATGCAAACAGTGGAATATTATTCAGCCTTGAAAAAAAGAAGGAAATTGTGCCATATGCAACAGCATGAATAGACCTGGAAGACAGTGTGCAAGATGAAATAAGCGAGTCATAGAAAGGCAAATACCGCATGAGCCCACTTCTGTGAGACAGCTAAATTGGTCCCACTCAGAGACTCTGTAAAACCGTGGTTGTCAGGGGCTGAGGGAGGAGGAAGTCGAGAATTGCTAATCAAGCGGCATAAAGTCTCAATGATACAAGATGAATACATTCTAGAGATGTTCTGTACAACGTCACACCTGCAGGTAGCAATACAGCATCGTGCACCCAAAAATTTGTTAGGAGGGTAGATCTCATGTTAAGTGTTCTTACCACAATAAAATAAAATTTACCAAAGAAAGAACAGGGGCATCTGGGTGGCTCCGTCGTTTGAACATCTGCCTTCAGCTCAGGTCAGGATCTCAGGGTCCTGGGATCGAGCCCTGCATCGGCCTCCCTGCTCAGCGGGGAGTCAGCTTCTCCCTCTCCCTCTGCTCCTCTCCCCTGCTTGTGCGCACTTTCTCAAAGAAATAAAGGAAACAGAGTGGGGACACGCTGAGGGAGAATTCATCAACTACTCTAGGAAACAGAGTTGACTCAGTGAGCCAGGGGGTTCCGGGCCTCTGAAAGATGTGTGGTTCTGGCTGACTGTGCCCCTCACTGACTTTTCTGGAAGCTGTCTAATATTGGTGAACTCTTCATTCCAGAAGACAAATCTTTCCCTTCCCTCTTAACACTCGAATCTTTTGATTTCCCTTGGCAGCTGTGGAGCGTCTGGGGCCGGGCGGAAGGCCACGGGGCCACACTGAGCTAATCATCCCCATTGTGGGGGCCTCTCTGAGTAGATGATGCATATTAATCAAGAGTTATATTAGAATTGATGGTGGCGCCTGGTCCTGATACCACAGATTAACCAGAGGAATTGGCCGCTCTCTGATGGTCAGATTAGCTTCATTGATTGCAGTGTTTCCTGTGTCTGGTTTTGCTTGGAGATGTTCTGCCAGAAAGTGGTAGAGAACGTGAGCTTTTGAAATTGGCAGTTTAGGGAGGTTTTCTGCTCAGGTCCAGATTTGCGATCCTCCGTTAATGAGGAGAGAGAGCAACCCAAGAATAATACTTAGGCTGTGTCTGATGAGAGAGGATGCAGATGACTGCAAGGACAGAGACTCTTCCTCTTACTCTGTACCTTCATGTTAACTCCTAGCTTAGGGATGGAATTTAAATTCATATTTTTGGACATTGGTACTCATCCAGCTCATTCTGTGTCAGAAGCCAAAAAACAAAGCAAAACCAAAAAACACCATCCAAAAATTGGCTCCTGTGTCTGAGGACAGCCAGGAGGAAGAAAGGCGATCAGGTGGGCTCCTGTATCAGTCAGGATGAGCTAGACTGTGCTGCAGTAACAAGAGATCCCCACATGTCAGTGATGGAAAGCATAAGAGGTTTATTTCTGCCCCTCGGGGGTTGGTCTCTGCTCTGCGCTAGCCTCACTCAGGGATGCAGGACCTTGAGCGTCGGGAGTGTGGTTGGATGCTGTGGAGGAAAGGGCAATGCGGCAAATTGTGCCTTGGTTCTGATCACTGGTCTTGGCCGCAGCAAGTTGCTTGGCCGTGCCTAATTTGTGGGGTATGGGAAATACAGCCCTGTCATGTGCCTAGATGAAAAAGAACTAAAATATTTGTCAAGAGCCTTATGGAAAACCAGCCCCCCCCCATATCCACTTCCATCTCAACCTAGGCTAATATGAGCAAAGAGGGAGATAACCCTCGCACCCCCCCCCAGTAGAGAACGGATCACTAAATGCTCCTCAGTTTACCTCTCAGCCAAATAGAAGAGGCAGTTTTAGAATCAGGGACAAGTTCACCATGTCCCCCCAGATGACTTGGGGCAAGTTCCCGAACATCCTCGAGCTTTCCCCGCCTCTTTTGTGGATGGGAGAGTAGTAGGAGCTGCCTTGCAAGTTATTTTTGAAGCATGAAGGATGATAGCACATGCCAGGGCTTAGTTTGGTCCCTGGCACCCGATGTGTGCTCGGGAATGTTAGAGCGACAAGCCTGGGCTTCTCTTTCTGTTACAGGGCAAGGAGAATACCTCCTTATGGGGTGATTGTATCCAGCGAGTGATACCTGGGGGTCACTTCGTATACGGTGCCTGGCTGGTGGCTAGTGCCCAGAAAATGCAGCTCAGAAGCTGCTTGGGATTCTTTAAGGGCCTCTGGACAGAAAGAAGGGGAAAGGTGAACATCAGGGGGGTTCAGTTAGGTGACAGGAGCAGGAACAGCAGAGGTGATTTTTTGCAAGGTGTGTGGGGACGTAAGAAAGCCTGGAACCAGGTGTCAGAACTGACAGTTTCCCCTTCACAGACCAGGTTGTAATATCTGCCCTGTGTGTCACCAGCCGCCATGCTGTGACCCAGTACTGACTCCCCTCTCCCTTCTTAGTAGCTTTCCTCCTCTCTACGCCGCTACCTCCTAGCTCCCACCGCCTAGAGCCCTTGGTGCCTTGTGGCCCTACTTACTGTCCCGCTTTCTGTGACTCCTTGCCACCTGATGGGCCACTGGCCAGACTTGAGACATGGAGGTGACATGGCTCTTCCAGATCCACGTAGCTGGGCTGGAGTGGTTGGGAAGGGAGCCAGATCTTGTGGTACAAAGCCAGGCGGTGGTGCTTACAGGGTCAGAGGGGCTCTGTAGCTTCTTGGAAGTGGGTAGTGGACCTGGTCACCTAGGCTATGGGTGTGCAGCCCCATCCCAGCTTCACCACCAACCAGCTGAGTTACCTCGGGCAAGTCGTGAATAGTCCGTTCCCTCACGTGCAAAATGAGCATGAGAGCAATGTCCAGCTTACAGAGTGGCCGTGAGGAATTTTAAGAGTCAGTTTTCCGTTCTTAAGGCCTCTCTATGTAGGAGAGAAGGGTGCTCAGTGCTCGGGAGATGGAGGAAGGGCAAGAAGGAGGCAGCCGATATGGTTTCTTCTCCAGGCCATTATGGGGCCAAATGGGGACCCTGGGGACAGGGACAACTAAAGCAAGCCCAGGGGATGGGAACCAAGAAACTCCTACTCCTCAAGAGCTGGTGTCTGCACACTTTTTCTTAAAGGGGTAAACAGAACTATTCAGGCAGGCCAGGTGGAGAATACTGCCACGCTCATTCCTGCTATCATAGTGGGAAGGTAGCCACAGACAGCACGTAAACAAACAGGTGCAGCTGTTTTTCAAGAAAACTTCATTTACAAAAGCAGATGATGCACAGGATTTGGGCCACGGGGGCCACCGCTGGCCAAGCTGCTAGAGTCCGAGCCCTGGGGCGTGCCAGCTGCCCTGTCTGCCCCTGTCTCTGCTGTTCCGTCCTCTCCCCTGGGCACTGTTTCAGGCACATTTAAGACAACCAAAGGGGTGATCTTTCCTCAAATTGCTACTCATGGCCCTTGTGTTTCTATAGCAACGAGGGTAGATTTATGGAGCCAGTTAGCGTTCTCTGTGGCTTTAGAGGTCCCCTCTGGGGCTAGCTTTGGAACAGTGGATACTCTTTCAGGTTAAGGCGTTGGTAATGGGCTCTAAGCAGCAACAACATGCTTTGGAAACAATGCAGGGTATTAGTTGAACGGTACATTTGCTCTGAGCTCAAAACGGCCAGGGCCTACCTATGCATGGAAAAGCTGAGTTGGGGCCACCTGCCTTCCTGGAAAGATCCATACCATGCATTGTCTCCAGAATGACTCTTGGCCTTTCCCTTGCCCCCACCCCCCACCCCCGGGTGACTTAATCCGTTCTGCTCCAGGTACAAACATCAGGAGTCAAAGGGCAAACACAGGAGGGTCGCAAGCTTGCATCTCCCCTGGGATTCATTGTAAAGATCATAATATAAAGGATGCATTCCCCTCCAAAATAGCTCTGATGTCTCTCCCTCCATCCGATTTCTCTTACGGGCATAGATCTGTGAGCATGTCCTAAAGGCAGTGGAATGTATGTCATATCCCACTGAATATTTTCTTCCCTTACAATTTTATTATGGCGTTTCCAGCCCTCAAATAAACCACCACAGCACTCTCTGCTAGAATTTAAACAGGAAAACTGCAACAAAATGTCCATAATCCAGTGGCAGAGACAAGGAAACTTACTGAAAAGGAGGGCGTCGTTAGTAACAAAGCATCCAGAGTCACAGAGCCCTTGAGAGTTTTCAAAGCCTTAATCTCTGGTTGGAACATCTCATATTTCCAGATGAGGAAATTGAGGTCCAGAGAGAAAACTCTACTTTGAAGTTAAACTGGTAGCAAAGGTATGGCGTGAAACCGGGACACACACCTCCAGACCTCTGTGCCCACTCTGCAAGGGCCAACCTACTTAGCATGACCACTCAGTGATGTTTCTCTTCTGTGTTCCTTCCCGTTTTCTCCAGGATGGCTACTTTTCTCACCGGCCGAAAGAGAAAGTGCGAACGGACAGCAACAATGAGAACTCAGTCCCCAAAGACTTTGAGAATGTGGACAACAGCAACTTTGCACCCAGGACTCAAAAGCAAAAGCACCAGCCTGAGTTGGCAAAGAAGGCCCCGAGTAGACAGAAAGAGCTTTTGAAAAGGAGGCTGGAGCAGGAGGAGAAGGGGAAGGGACATTCGTTCGCAGGCAAAGGCACCACCGAGGCGCTGCCTCCCAGGGAGAAAGCTGCAGTGAACAGTAGCCGTGGGAAGGATGCCCCAAGACAGCCCCATACCAGGAAAAGCGGGGGCGGCTCCCCCGAGCTCAAGTACGACCAGCCCCCCAAGTGCGACATCTCAGGCAAAGAGGCCATCTCCGCCCTGTCCCGCTCCAAGTCCAAACACTGCCGCCAGGAGATCGGGGAGACCTACTGTCGCCACAAGCTCGGACTGCTGATGCCCAAGAAGGTGACTCGATTCTGCCCCCTGGAAGGTGAGTCCCAGCCCGGGTCCAGTTCTTCCTCCTGCCCAGTCCCATTCTGCTCCCATTGTCAACCTTCCGAGAATGACCGCCCTATTTTTCCAACTCCCTCCCCCCCAATCAATGCACAAGATTTTTTTTCCTCTGGTACTGTCTGAATTCTGAAGTTGTGTGTAAGAAAACCTTTGCAAAATCAAACGGCCTTTTGTTCCAGCTTTAACCAGTTGCCTCGATGGCAACGGAAAAAATACATGAAATCGGGGCTGGTGTGGAATCCAAGGTGATTGTATCGGTAGGGTTCGCTTTTGCACAGGTGAGGTATTCCTCGTGTATCTCTGCGTCTGACGTCATGCTGTTGACCGGATTGTGTGCCTTTCTTGGTGGTGTGTTTTATCAGACAGTTATCAGGCGCTCGCTCCTCGTCAGGCACTGCACATTCAATCAGCTCATCTCATCCACCGCCCTGTGAGGTTGGCCCTGTCGTCGTGAGCCTAAACTTTCTTTTTTTTTTTCTTCAGATTTTGAGGATTTGGGCCAGGTAGGGAGCGGCCGTGTGTGTGTAAGTGCTGTGGAAGGATGCACAGCAAGCCTGTCACATGTTCCCCGTTGCGCGGGGTGCAGGCAACTTCAGCTTTTCACTCGCTGTTCGTCTGTAGTTTTTGAGTTTGCGGGGGTGAACGTGTCTCTCTTTTAAATGGAAAGATGTAAAAAGGAAGGGTTCGTTTCTCCCTTGCATTTCAACCCTAGGCCAAGCTCTCCGTGGGGTTCGCATTTATATTCTTGATGGAACTTGGCTGATGGAGTAGAGGAGTAAATGAGTGGAGGAAGAAGTTACCAGAATCTTTTGTTAACCAGCACCTGGCTTGGCAGAGGAGTGTCGGATGCCTGAGTTGAATGCCCTTCCATGAAAGTAATATTGGGCACTCATACTATACCAGGAGTCAACATGCTTTTTCTTCAAAGGACCAGAGAACAAGTATTTGAGGCTTTGTGGGCCATCAAAAGGAGCCATGCACAATACATACACCGTGCACTTAGTTACGTTCCAATAAAACTCACTTGACTAAAGCAGGCGGCGGGCAGGATTTGGCCTGTGCGCCCTAGGTTGCTCACCCCTGCCAGATACCAATCCTGTGTAGCAATAAATACAACACAGTGTGCACCTTATAGCACATCGAATTCTCACACCAGCCCTAGGAGGTAGGTCTTTTATCAACCCATTACGTCGACGAGGACGTTGAGGCTGAGCGGTTTAGTACTTGGTTAGAGGTTCACGACTAGCAGACAGAAGAGCTGATCTACCCAAGGGCCTGCATCCCTACCCATGGCCTTCCCCTCCTCAGGAGGCAGAAGGTTTCCCTTGAGCGCCACCGGTCAGACCTCAAGGAGGTCCTGCAGCCTGTAGGCTGTATTTCTCCATCCTCAGTATCATTGCAAGGAGAGGGGAGGGGGCGTGATGGGGAAACCAAAGGGCTGGTGTCACCCGTGGAGGTCAGGGGCTCCCACGCTCCTCCTGGTCATGCTGAGACACCGCCCCCCCCCCCAGCGTGGTCGTGCAACATGAGTGTGCCCGGCCTTTCCCCGTAGACTCGCCTGTGTCAGCCAAGATGGCACACCCTCCCGGGACCTCTGAGCTGGTTAATCAGATTGGCATTTAAGAGCCATTGCACACCCAGCCCAGCGCTGCCTTAATTTGCTGCACGACAGCCTCCCCTTTTGCAATAAATTTACTGTGAATAGACTAATTGCAAAATAACCCTAATTGGGTAGTTATCAATGAACAACTTCCCGTGGAACAAAACGGCTTACAATTAATAGCATTTAAGCCATAAACTATTCTTCTGCAGAAAGCTAAGATGTAATTACACCCCATACGGAGATTGTATTCCCTTTCTGGAAACCATGACACCCGGATTTCCCCCGCTTAGGAGGGATTTGAGCTTCAGCCCCGTGGTCCTTTCCTTTCCCGCTAAATGAGGAGATGGAGGTGGGAGGGGAGGGAGACGTAACGTGTGTGTAAATATACACATGTGCACGCACCCAGATGCACACGCTGGCTTTGTCATCGTGCCGAGCTCCACGTCACCCGAACTTCAGCCAGTATGATGCCGGAAGCTGGATCTAATTAGGGGAACCATTCCCCACGGCGGGCGGTCTGAACCATCCAGAGGGAAGGAAATAGAGTTTGAGTGTTGACTTTCGTAAAGGGCTCCTGCTCTTCGCGCTCACACCCATCCTTCCGCTCCCCTCAGCTGAGCACCACTCAAGGAAAAGGAAGAGTCTAGAGCCACAGGAATCAGGTTGCTCCCTATAGAGATGTTCCCTGCTTTTGTGACTTGCCTACTTCACTCCACCTCCTGGAGAAAGCAGCTGGAAGGGTGACACATTTTCCCAAGGAAAGGAGTGTACCCCCCACTGACAGCCACCAAGAGTGAGGCACATGGAGGGCATGGGGTGCTCTACCCCATCAGCTCCCAAGCCTGGCCTCCGAGAGGCTTATTCCTAATCCCCCTGTGGCCTGTTACTCCTCATAGGGCCCCTGTGCTCACTGCAGCCAGACCACCCCCCGACCTCTCCCCTTCCTCACCCAGGCAGCCCCGCCCCCACCCCACCCCCCACAATTGCCTGGGCCTCCTGTCCCTTCCTTGGGCTCCACGGTCAGACCTCCCGTCACTTCAGCTGGACCTCCTAGTGTTTCACGGAGATAAAACCTTGTCAGATGGAAGACCAAGGCTGGAAAATCTGGGCTGGAAAAAAGAGGTTTTCTCTAAACACTGGGTTTTGAATCCTGGTTGTGACTTTACTAGGTGCGTGACCCTAACTTCCTAGTGCCTCAAGTTCCTCATCTGTGAAATGGACACAGATTCTCCTACCTTTTCTCCTTGGATTGCTGGCCGCGGTGTGGGCAGGAGTATCAAATGCTTGGTGCGGAGGGGAGGTAGAATGCAGCAGATGTTTGGCTATTGGCAATGGTAGTGGTATAAACCAAGGGGGCATTGAGAAGAGGAGCGAATGGAAGTCCTCCTTGACGGTGACTTCCGGCTGCCCGGCTGCATCTCTCTCGCTCCGTTCTTCAGACGTGACCCCCACCTGGCTCAGGCATTCTCTCACGCTCTTTCTAGCACCTCTGCTGTTGCCTGCACCCCCCCCCCGCCACTGCACCCCACCTTGTCTGGCCACCACCTCTCCCCGCTCCAGATCTCAGCCTAAATGCCACCTCCTTGGGGAAGCCTTCCTGGACCACGTCTCCCCCAAGAAGCCCTGGCCGCAGGGATCACGCTGACCCCAGTGAAGGGCAGAGGTAGCTTTCCTGATGAATGCCTTCCTTGCTTGATAAAGACCGTTCGGCCTGTAACAGGCATTCTGGTGCCAGGTGCTAGTAATGCAACTTTTAATGCCTCGTTGCAATGGGAACAATTAAATGTCAGGAAGCTCCGTCTAGCCTCCCTAAATCTTGAGTGAAAATGTCCCAAGAAAGGCCCCCCGGTGCCCCCCATCCCTCCTGCAGTTCACCCTCTGCTGTGTTAGGTGGGGCCCGTGGACTCATGCTTCCAGTGGCCCGCGCGTCTGCAGCCTGCCTTTTTAGGTGGAGAACGAGCAGGGGGCAAATGTGCGAAGTTTTGGGGAAAGCGGTCGGCTGGGAGGTGGGACGGGCTGCCGCCTGGCCAGGAGCTCAGGCCTGAGCAACTGGGGGACATGGCGGGTCTCCGATGGGTGACAGGCACGGGGCTAGTTCCACTGAGTCCGCCAACCAGCTGCAGGGCTGCAAGCCTTTGCATGTGACTGGGGAAGCCGGCTCAAGTAGAGGGCTGAAGATGGACAGACTGGGGGTTTCTGATAGAAAGGCAACCGTTCCTGGATGTGACAATGGTCTTTACCCATCAGCCTTTGCAGGAGGCCAGAGGTTCTGGACACATGGGCTTCTGGACGGAGGTAGCTGGCTGCCCACTCCAGAGAAAGTGACAGATGGCACTGCCGGCTGCAGAAGGGCTGTCTCCCGTCCATCTCTGCACCCTGGGGGCAGTGTGGTGACTCCAGAGCACGAGTAGCTGGCTTCTAGAAAGCATGGCTGGCAGCCTGGCATGGAGGGACCGTGCAGGCGTGGATGGTAGCTCGGCCAGTCCGAGTGCCCTGGGGTGCATGCCTCAGTTTCCCCACCTGTCAGCCAGAGACCCTGACTCCTCCCAGGCTTTCTGCTGATGAGGAAACGAGGAAGCAGCTGTGGAAAGCTAAAAAGCACCACGGTAATGGGGGCGGTGTGGCAAAGCCAAATTGATCCAGGCGCAGCTTGGCTAAGTGGCCGGGGCTGACTCGCTTTCCAAAAGGCCAGGTTTGCAGAGGACCCAGTCAGACCCTTCCTGCTGATCAAGGCACAAAGGCCAGTAGTGGGGAGGGATTTCAGCACTGGCTCGCTGGGATTGGGCAAACCTGGTCCCAAAGGTGTTTTTCTTGGACTTCTCAGGGAGGGGAAAGGGACTGACCCCACTCATCGGTCACCCCGTAGGCAGTGTCCAAATCCAGGGCTCCGCACATGTTTTCTGTAAATGGCCAGAGAGTAAATAGGAGGCTTTGCAGGCCATATGGTCTCTGTCAAAACTCCTTGATGCTGCCTGAAAGCATCAATATATAAATAAATGACCAGCAAGGCAGTATTCCAATACAGCTTGGTTTAGGGTCACCAAAATGTGAATTTCGCATAATTCTCACGTGTCCTAAAGTGTTACTCTTTTGATTTTCTTCCAACTGTTTAAAAATGTAAAAACTCTTCTTAGCTTGAAGACCACACCAAAATACGCAGCCGGGGGCTGGAGTTGGCTGACCGTTGTTCTAGGACGATATAGCAGTGTGCGAACGCGGAGAACGTCTTGTTCAGGTGCACAGCTCGGGGCACCAAGTCCCTTGACATAAGATGGACGGTGATTCTGGGAGGCGTGCAGCGGGATGGCTCTAGCTTCATGGAGCTTCTGCCCCAGTACGAGAGGCCAGAGATGACAAGTGAGCCAGTGGATCTA